CCCACCGTGACTATGATGAACTAAAATCTCTTAAACTCTAAGCCAGACCCAATTAAATATTTTCCTTTATAAGAGTTGCTGTGATCATGGTGACTTTCCACAGCAAGAGAAACCCAAACTAAGACACTATCCATCATAAAATTCCATTAATAATGATTTCCTAAACAGTAGTATATGAACATAAAGCATAAGCATATGACAAAGACTCAGAAGCAAAAAGTATGCCTGTATTACTCAGCTCCAAAAAATGGATAGGATGTTTCTAGATAAGGAAGAGCTAAAAGAAGATGCAGCTGCTGAAGAGACACACAGCATGTGGATTTCAAGGCCATTTTTGGAATTCAGATTCACTTTTCGTATTGACTTTAACCTTTAGATTATTTATACAAGACCACTCGCATTATCTAAGTTAGAAATGATCCTAACCACAACCTATTTTCTATAGATTTTTTAGACAGCTATGCAAATGGTCCACATTAGATAAATGAATTATTTAGAGCAAAAAAAATTAGTCTTTATTTCTAGGTTAACAGGGATACTCTTTCTATACTGATACTCTTTTTTACCTGGGCTGGAACTGGAATTACTCATTCTGTTATACTTTTTTTTTTTTTTTTTTTTTTTTTTTTTTTTTTTTTACCTCTCCTTGCTCTCTTATAAGAACGGTGACGAGCTGGGAAGTGGTGTTGCACTCCTTTAATCATAGTCCTGGGAGACTGAGGAAGGTGGGTCTCTTAATTCCAGGCCAGCCTGGCATATACAGTAAGTTATAGGACAGCCAGGACCACACAGAGAAACACTCTCTTGAACCCCCCCCCAAAAAAAAGCAAAACAAGAAAATAAACAAACAAAAACAATGATGATGAAATTGGCCTTTCCTTAAAACAGGCTGTTCTGGAATATGCTGAACTTCTCCAATGATCATGTATGCCTCAGCCTCTTATCTATTCTAGCTTGTACTTCTGTGTGTGAGTGTGTGTTTTGAGCAGGGATCTCCCAAGAGAAGAAAATCCAATCTAACTGTGTCCTTTGGCTTTTAAATTTATTTACCCCTCCCCCTTTTTAGTGGGAACTAATACAAACTCCTTCTAATAATCAGTCCTTGACATTTTTCTTTGTATATTATGGCACAAAGAGCACAAAACAACCTTAACATGGTATTTCTATCAAATGTAATGGGGTTCTCCCTGCCATGGCATTCCTTCTTGTGTAATTATCATCCATATCCCAATAGAGATGAGAGCCAAGGAAAAAGAATGGACAGCAGCAAATGGCTGCTTGAAAGCTGTAGTAGGTGGAGATTCCTATGTCTACACCTATAGTCTGAAAACCATATATACCTTCTTCTATAAAGCAAGTGCATTTTTATGAGCTCCAGTAGAAGAATTAGCAGCATAAATCATTAGGCGGGAGAGATTTTTTTATTATTCTTATTCTGCACTATAGTTGATGTTTTAGTTCCTGTTCTATTTCTGTTAGGCAATGCTATCCCAAAGGCAACATGATATAAAATATTACGCTGGGGGCTTGTTTACAGTTTTATAGGTCTAGCCCATGACCCTCACAGTCAGAAGCACACAGGCATGATACCTGAGTGACAGCAGAGAACCTTACATTCTGCCCCACAGATAGCAGGCAGAAAGAACAAGACTGAGCCTAGAATGGGCTTTTGAAATGTTAGGTTAGGGTCAAAGCCCATCCCAGTACTATATCTCTTCTAATAAGACCTTAGCAACTTCAACAAGGCCACATTTCTATAATTCTTCACAAGAGCTCTACTAACTGGGGACCAAACATTCAAATATATGAGCCTATGGGAGACATTTTCTTTCAAACTACCACACTGGATGCTATAGGCAAGAATTGGAAACCAGTTCATATAGCATCCCATTGAGTACAGGTGGGGTTCCTCTTTCTACACTCCTTCACCCAGAATGCAGCCCCATTTTCATCGTCACACATAGAGAGAAGGATGGGATGATGCCTGGGTAATTACTTTATAATTTATACTTTGCAAGTATCCACCAAGGTACAGATGCTTTAATGTGATAATGAAGGACAAGTCAGAAAGCCCTACAAATGTATTCTTCTGACCTTAGGGAACTGCTCCTCCAAACCCTGTGACTGGTCTGACATCTATGAAAGACAGTGAGTGTACTATGTGCCAACTCACTCTGGAGAGTGGATCTTGTGCCAGGAAAATGGCAGAATCCCTACAAGGTATCATCATCATACCTCATGGTACCTAGCCTCCAGTCTGCCTTTTGATGGCTAGTGTAGAGGTTTGAATGAGAATGGCTCCCATAGGCTCATATATTTGCATATTTAGTCCCCATTGGATGAACCATTTTGGGAAGGTGTGGCCTACTGGAATATGCATGAGCTTATTGGATGGGGCCCTCTCCTTCTCTGAAGCCTGATGGAGCAGGATGTAAAGCTTCCAGCTATTGTTCCAGCAACATGACTCTCAGGTTCTTGCCATGATGGTCACAGACTAAACCTTTAAATCTGTTAGAAAGTCCTGAGCTAAATTCGTTCCTTTATAAAAGTTGCCATGGTCATGGTGTCTCTTCATAGTGATAGAACAGTATAACTAAGACACCTAGGCAGTAACATTGAGGACAGCAGTTCCTGAGCAGTAGAATCTTTGAAAGGATGCATGCATTCCCCGTTAGGAACACTCTGTCACAGCTCCTTGGCTGAAAAATGAATTTCCTTGTCAGAAGCAATCTTAAGAGTCATCATCTGCCAGTAGATCACACAGTCTCTAAATAAGTGGACAGTTGCTGCCTGAAACTTTACTGTAAGAAGAACAGATCCATAACTGAGAAATATATCAATTCCTGTAAGACAGGGTCTGATACAGTCAAATAACTCCACTGTCGCTTTAAGGTGTGCTTTCAATAACAGGCTTATGGTGGTCTCTATGGATCGTAGACCAGATATTCAATAGGGTCAGTGTATGAATACATTTTTTGTTATTGACTATTTATTCTATACATAGCCTCCATTTCTATAGTTGTCATTAGTATGGTGACTGTGCTAGGTAATTCCCCATTACTATAAGAGCATACCAGATATAATTCACTTTAAAAATGAAATGACTCACGTTTTACGCAGTCAAATTCACGAACAGAGGGTCTCATTGCTTTTAGGCCTTTGGTGAGTTGTCAGAGGGGACCGTGGTGAATCTTCAGTGGCTCAAGCTGCTTACCACACGAGCAGTGATCTAATGAGAAATAAGAAGGATAAGATGTTCCAAGTCTCCTCTGAGGGTGATCCAAATACCTTTCATTAGGACCCACCCCTTAATTCTAGACAAACTCCCAATGCATCTCTTGAGATACAAATTTGATATGCTGGTCCATATCAAATGCAAATTTTGCTTACTTGATTCTTATCTCAAAACTGGAGAAATTCCTCACCAGCCTGCATATACATCTCATAACAGTGAAAGTACTCTTCATTAGGCAAATAATTAAACAATTTCAATGCACTGAAAAGGATTAAGTTCTGCAAAACAAGAACAGAAGTCCCATGCTAACAGCTTCCAAAATGTGTTATCTTGTTCATATAAATTCTTCAGTTGACACAATTATACAAATGACAAGCACACTGATGTCAATCACAGCCTGTGGGAGGGCTGCAGTAGGGTAACTGGCTACACTTCTGATGTATAACCTCTGTAATCAAGGCCATGTGTAGTATGTTGGCTGAATTAATCACCCTATCCTTATAGTAACAGTAATGTATGGCAACCATTACTGCCTGACAAAGTCCCAGCTTTTCAACTGTGATCAACTTTGTGGATCACAATTCTCCATTACCCTTTAAATTTCATTTCTCCCACTGTGTGTTATGGGAGTTCCCTTATTCCTTTTCCTTTGGCAGATTTTTGTACAAGCTTTGAAGGATAAAAATATATAAAACAGCAGATTCCTTAAACAAAATAATTCTTAGGGAAAAATTCTTCACTGTTGGAAGACATTGCTGGATGGTAGAGGTCACAGACTATATCATATCCTGGTAGCTCTCTTGAGGCTGGGCAATGTGGAAATTCCCTCTGACCCTAGCAAAGCTTCCTGCTTCTGGACAATGTCTGTAGGACCAGGATGCTTGGCTTTTCTCAAGGTTCAGCCCTGACACAGTTCCTGCAAAGGCTTTTTCCTGTGATGACCCATCTGGTAATTGGGCAAGTGCTTTAGTCTTTTTGATAGGGCCCTGCTTCCACTAATCCAGCTATATGATAGGAGTGTGTCACTTAATGTAAATTAGGGTTTCTAGGCTCCCCAATCTGATATATCTTCCTCATATTCCAAGTTGTGCTGATTCATCGTAGTCTGTCTCTAGGAGGCCTGTCACCATCCATGCTCATGGGCCATGTACAAAGCTTTGGGTTGCCACTTCTGCCTCTTTCTCCTTGGAATGAAGGTCAACAGGCCCCCCACGCCCCAACACCATAGAATCCCCACTATACCTTCCTGATTACACCTAGAACAGGAACGGTAGAGTTTACTCAGTGGACACCCCTGACCCCAAGGATGAGCTGTTTACAATCGAGATCCACAGCCTAAGACTTAAGGGTAGGAGTTCAGTTAAGATGTAGAGAGAAATGAGAATGGTACAGTAAAATGGGAAAAGACTAAGATATCAGGACTGTCCCTCTGGAGCATTTGAGGGAAACAGGCTCAAATAGTGAGACTAAGACTCAAAGAGACACAAGTAGGGAACAGCTCATTGCAAATGCTGCCCCATGCCCCCTGAGGAATGAAATTGCTCTTAAATTGTACTGGAGTGTCTGGTCCCCAAAAGTCCTTCTTCCAAGGACCTTGAATAAGGGCTCCATTCCCTCAGGGGCAAGAGGAAAGTTCCTGCTTGCTAAAATCAGCCATTCTCCTTATCACTGGCAAGAGGATCTTGGGGCCCTTCCATTGATGTAAGGGCCCCTGGTGGAGTAATTGAACCTTTGCAAACAGCAGGCATTTAGATACTTGCTGAACTTCTCGCTTTTGTCTCAGGGAAAATGTTATAATGAAGCTAATGGCCACTTTCCGTCCCCAAATCATTGAGTCTGCTTTCAATTTTGCTTGTGGCTAAACTATTGAGTACAAAAGGTGTATTCTTCTTGCAGTAAACACACTGGCAGCCATCCCAGTTCACCTCAGATTGTGTCTGCCCGCCGTTCCGCTGCACGCATCCTTTTTGGATTCTGAACCACACCAAAGCAGGTCTCGGGCAATTAGAATAATTCACGGCAAGAGAAATGATGATTGGTGCAGACTCTTTGTGTGCAAATCCTGCCTGCGGCCACACTTGGTAATAGCTTTTACCAAACACTCACTCTCATGAGGATCGGGATTTTCATTCCCCTGAGAATCCTCATTGCAAAATTCTTCTTTATGGGGTATTTTCCCTTCCTTCAGTCACTTGGTTCCAGGTCTAGATATTCCAGTCTGAATATTAGTCAACCATGTTTTTTTTTTGTACTCCCTTCATTTTCTTTATTAAAGCAGATATGCTTAATAACTCAATGTTCAAATAATTAATCTTTGCGATTTTGGGGTTTCAAAAAAATCAAAACATCCTTATCAGGTTACCCATCTTATTCCCTGAATTTTGATCTCTATAAA